CGGGGCGCGAAGTAGACACGCCGTTGCCCTTGCCTTCCTCACCGCCAGCATCGGCATCGCTGTTGGTTTCATCGGCATCGGCATCTTCGTCGTCGTCCTCGTCGCTGTCGTCTTCGTCGCTCTCGGAGTCTTCCTTGTGCGGGTCCTGTGGGCTGCCACCACTTCGGGCTGCGCTGGCCGTACCGAGAAGCCACAGCTCGGGCCTCTTCTTGAGCAAGGGCAAAGCCGCCTCGAGCATGGTCCTCTGGACAGCATTGTCTCGCTCCTGCCAGACGGACGTCAATGCCACCGGACCAATGGTCTGCAGATGCTTATCGACAGTATCGGGAACCGAGTCGAAGAGGGCACGAAGCAGAGTCCATGCGCGCAGACGAACTGCAGGCGAATCGAATCCGAACGAGGTAACTCGAGCTTGCGGCTCTGACCTCGAAGCTGCAGAGGAAGCCAGGTTTTGCGGCGAAAGAGAAGCCCAGACGAGTCGGGAGGATAGCACATCGTCCAGCGCATCGACGACGTCTTGCCCTGGCTTCTGCCTTACGATTGCGGTAAGCACGGCGAGGGCACCGGCCACCAGCCTCTTGTCGAGCGCAGCCGTGTCTTCTTCGACGTTGCTATCGTCGCGGTTCTTGGCATCGCGCTCCACACCTGCACCCAGCTGAGGTGTGGCTTGACCGGACGAGGTTCGGGACATGGACGGGTCCGACGCTGCAACGGCGTGAGCTGCCGTCATGGAAAGGGCGTAGGACGGTGAGGTAGACAGAAGGATCGTACGCAGATGCGCCATGAGCGTTTCGCTGTGCTCGTTCAGGTCCAGTTTGACCGCTTCTGGAGCACCAGCCGATGCTTCACTTGTGACGACGTCCTTCCAGGTGCAGGTGTCGAGCCACGCCGCCCGACCCAGACGCTCGATGGATCGATCTGTGTCGTGACAAAGAATGGCCCAGGGACCAAGCATTGCCTCGATGTACTGCGGCGACTCGAGCAGCTCTGATCGCGTAGAAGTCGTGTCATCGGAAGACGGTTCGGAGCTGTTTTCGAGCAGCAAGGTCTGGATCTGCATTGTGAGCAGACGAAGACGACGGGTCGGCGACAAAGCGAGACGAGGGAACAGATGAACCCAGCTGGGCAGCATCATGACAAGTGCTTCCTTCTTCTCCTCGGACGTCAGTCGGGATGCCTCGGTGGCATCGGAGCCCGCGGCGGTGGCTGTTTTCCCGAAGGCATCTTCCACCCATGCCAGAAGCCCTTCGAGCGCACGACAGCGGGTAATGACATCCTTCTTGGATGCTTTGCGCAGCAGAACGACGAGATCCGCGGGAAGCAACGAAGCTAGGCCCATCGAGTCGAGCGGGTCCGGAAGCGGTTGTGGGGGCTTGGGCGGGGGGATGTACTGCTTCTTCTTGTCAGCCTTGCCCTTCTTGCCTCCCTTGCCGTCCTTTTTGGACTTGTCCTTCTTCTGTCCCCTTTGCATGCCGTGCTGCTTTTGCTTTTCCATGGCCTCGGCGAGTTCGGGATGCAAGAGGTTGCCGTCATCGTCGCGCTCGTAGGCTTTCTTGTTGGCCGCCTTTGCAGCCTGCTTCTTGCGTGTGGCGGACGAGGCCGACGACTTGCCTTTTGGCGCTCCTTTCGCCATGACGGGCGAGGTATTCTGACCAAATAAAGCGGATAGGAGCAGTCAGATCGATCGATCGTGTTTGGATCCTTCCAATGCGCTGGGCAAGAAGTCGCACGCTCGAGCGCTCGTGTGCTGCCAAAGCGTTCGTACCGATCGTAGTCCGTCACCGAATGAGGGGCGGTGTATCGTCACGCGAGAGTTGCAGAGAAGGACTGCGAATGAAGAAGGCGGGAGGTTGCGGACTTGAGGTAAGGATTCGTTGGTTCTTCTCGACGTTGCGGGCGACGCCGTGTGACGTTGCCGTCCTGGCCCACGCGCCCTGACTGACTGACTGCCTGATTGACTGATTGACCGACTTGGACTGTGACTTCTAGATGAAAAAAGGTGGAGGGCTGACTGCGCTGAACTGAGCCTGCAGCCCCGATCTCGGCCCTGAACCGCAGCCCGATGGCGATATTTTCCAAAGCCATCCACGACGGAACTGAGCCCTTGGAAGCATCGCGCAGGGACTGCTTCCATCCTCTTGCCTCACCACCATCACATCGCCAAACTATCTTGGCACATTCGCTCTTTTCTTCTGGTGCTGCTAGCGCATATAAGGAAAGGTGTGGATGCGCGAGTGCCTGTTCCGTTGAGCATCACAGGCATCCGTGGTTGTGCTCCTTGAGAAGACGAGCTTCGATCATGTCCGTGTCTGCTGCCGAGGCCGGTCCCAGTGCATTCGACGCGCCACTGGAGACTGTCCCTGCCCTCGACACGACTAACGGCACCTCCTCCGAATCGGCTGCGGCCACGGCCGCCCCTCGTAGAGGAACTCGCGCCCGTAAGCCAACTTCCAAAGCTGCTGGCGTGGATGCGGCCGAGGCGGCAGCGGTACAAGAAACGCAACAAACATCCACGCGGAGCGCAAAGAAGCGCAAGGCTGATGAGCTCGCAGCAGACACCGCTGCGGACCCTGACCCCATCAACAACGAAGTCGCCCAAGTCTTTGAAGGCGCCTCGGGCCATGCCTCGGACGCTGACGACGATGAGGACGACAAGCAGTACTGCATCTGCCGAGGCAAAGACGACGGCACTTTTATGATCTCGTGCGAGCGCTGTCAAGAATGGTGAGTGGGCGATCCCGCGGACAAGACGGCCAAGCCCTGCGGATATGAGCTGACCAATTCGACGATGATTATTCCTCCCTTTCCAGGTTCCACACCAAGTGCATCGGCATTACGCAGAAGGCGGCCAAGAAGCTGGACGAGTACGTCTGCGAATCGTGCTCCCGAGCAGACACCAAAAAGACTTCCGGTAAGTGCCGTCACGGCCTCGACAGAGCAAGAGCTAGCTCGTTTTCTGAGCCAGATTACTGACCCTCACTCCTCTGCCGTCCTTCTTCATGTTGACCCGTAGCTAAACCCTCGAAGCGGTACAAGTCTTCAGCAAAGAAGAAAGCGACTTCACCTCAAGAACCGCAAGACGACGAAATGGAATCGGATGATGCGCAAAACGAAGACGAAGCCAGTGACGGTGACGAGTACATCGGCGAGCAGGGCGAGAATGCCTCCGACGTCGAAGGCGCTCCCAAGGAAGAGGCATCGTCATCGACCAAGCCGGCACGCACACGGCGCCTACAGAAACAGGACACCCATGCTTCCCGGGCCGAGTCACCCAGCAGCGACACCGAGATGCGAAGCAAGCCATCCCAAGGCGCGAGACGACCCAGTGGCCCGGCCAAGTCGGCCACTGGCGCCGGTCCCAAAAAGGGCGGTCCGCGTAAACCCACCGGACCCACCGATGCAAGCACGGAAGACGCCCGATCCCGAGCGCGCAAGGTGCTCGCCACGGCCTTGGAGAAGATCTTTGCTACCCATGGCTCTGAATCTGCCTCCGAAGAAGAGGAAGAGACTGACGCGCAGCGAGGCGAAGCGTACGCTGCGCTGCTTGAGGCCGAGCTGTTCGATGCGACTGCCGACGCGCACGGCTCGATCCGTGTGGTGGCTAGCCGATACAAGGATCGCTTCCGCACGTTTCTGTTTAGTCTAAAGGATGCAAAGAATACGACGCTGCATTCTCGGATTGCATCGGGCGAGCTCGCGGCTGCTGAGCTAGCCAAGATGTCCAACGAAGAGCTCGCCAACGACACCATCCGCCAGGCGACTGAGAAGGCGCGCCTCGACGCGCTGCATCGCAGCACGCTTCGCGCAGAAGAGGCCGGACCCATGCGCAAGATCACGCACAAGGGCGAGGTTGAGATTGAGAGCGACGCGCTGCTGGCGCGCGACCAGCCGGACAAGTTCCAAATTGCCGTCGATCGCAAGACCGACGTCCATCAACGCATCTCAGAAAGCGAACCCGCCATCCCCACGCAAGGCCCAACATCTCCAGGATCTGATTCCGTCAAGGAATCTGAAGAAGGGCCTGAGGAGACAGGCGCGACGACCTCCGAACGCACGGCGACACGCAACTCGGCGCCAGCACCCGATGCAGCGCAGGGCTCGCCTTCAAGGCTCAACTTTGGCGATGTCTGGGCTCGGAACGCAGACAGCAAGACGCAGGATGACGATCAGAACGACCACGAAACCACCGAATCCTACGGCTTTGATGTTGGCTCGCCCCACGACGAAGCGTACGGACACGAGGCCGGCGTTGAAACGGAGGGCGCTGCGACGAGCGGTGCCGACGACTTTATCGACTCCTTTCTGGATGGCAAGGACGATCACGACGCGGACGAGACCACGACCTCGAAAGACGCCACGCAAGCCGCCGCAAGATCAACCACGCCTGATTGCGAACCCAGCAGCCTTGCTCGACATCGCTTCCGGACGGTCATCTGGAACGGCCTCATGGACCTGCCGGATATCTTCGCGTTCAAAGGGCACGTCAAGCAAGTGGCCGGACGCAGCATCGCGCACGCGCCTCGACTGCGGACCAAGTTCCTGCCCGACCGACCGCTGCTCATCGCCGGCCGGCTTCCTACCAAGGCCGCTGTCGACTATCTGCTGCAGGTGGCCAACGCTGCGAGAACCGAGATTCTGGCATTCGCCCTGGAGCCCGGTGCGATCAAGGACGGAGCGACGCAAGCAACCGAATCGGACCGGACCAGCTTTGACGGCATCCTCAAGCACTTCAAAGACGCCGACCGCTGGGGAGCCTTGCACGTGTCTTCGAGCGTCAAGGGTAGTCTGATCAAAGACTTTTACGTTGCGCCCCTGCGGCAGGAAGACGAGGTGCCGCTGTGGCTCGACATGACCGAGTCGGACTGCCTGGGCACGGACTGGCATGCGAAGCGCGATCGCGACATGCTGATCCTCGTTGCTGTCGTCATCCGCGACTCGCTACAGGCGGAGCTGGTCAAGGCTGAGAGAGGAGGCGGCGGCCATCATCGCAGCACTACCAAGGACGGCGCCAAGCCGCAGCAAGAAAAAGCAGATGCGGAGGCTGGGGAGGCATACGATCCGACTGCAGGCATCAGCATTCCACTCGGTCCTTCGAGTGGGACTGGAGCAAGTGCAATCGCACCGGCTGCTCCTGGTGCCTCTGCTGGGTTCGGGTCCGACGCCTTACAATCTTTACTGCGCACGCTGGGCAAGACGGCGCCTGCTCCGGCGAACCCGGCGTCGATGTCATCTCCTGCGGCCGGGGCCTCGATGATGGCGAATGTGGGCGGTGCGACACCGCCTGGGCCACCACCACCGGGACCGCCCCCTGGTCCACCACCCATGCTTGTGCCTCCTAGTGGCGGCGTCGCGCCCAACCGCTCTCCTCTTGCCGGTTCGTGGCCGCCGCATCCACCTGCTGACGAGGCGGGTGCAGGCGCGCACTGGCAGCCACCGCAAGGCTATGCGCCGCAGGGGTACGAAGCACACATGCCTGCGCCGCCCGGTCCTGCAGCAGGATGGGACCAGGGATCCGGGTGGAACTATCCCCCCGGTCCCGGCATGCACCCTCCACCCGGGGGAGAAGCACCGCAGCCGGCTCCGGAGCTGCCCGAGGAAGAGTACCCTGGGCAGTACAATCCGGACTACTTGGCACAAGCGAGCGCCGGCGCCGGAAGGGGAGGAGCAGGGTATGGGCCGAGGGGCGGTGGCCATGCATACGGGCACGGATACGGCCGGGCTTACGGCCATGGTAGAGGAAGGGGCGGCTGGCGCGGCCGAGGCTGGTGAGCACGCCCGCGCATACCAAAACTCTCAGGGCGGGGCTTTGTCGTGCTTATGCCTGTCTCATTGCTCGAACGCGACGTCTCATAGCTGCACCATCGAATGCACCCATTGCATCAAAAATGAGCGATCCTTGATGATGTTCGTCTAGTCAAGGCTGGCTGACAGGGCAACGCTGCTGCTTGTAGACAGGGATTCCGTGCGAGATGGACGCTCCACCGCTTGAGCGATCCACCCTACAGTTTGAAAAAGACAAGAATGTATTGCAGTTCGTGTAAATAGTGTCTCAATCAAAACCGAAAAGTTGCGCGGTAGGAACCAGTGTGATTCGAGTAAGGGTGGGATTTTGGATTGCTCAGCCAGGCCAGCTGTGATGAAGCGAGGTGATCTCGTGGCGCGTCGCACCCACTCGGTCTTGAGGAGAAGATCGGAAGAGGCGGGCGCGCCTGCAGGAAAAGCTTTTTGGAAGGCGAGCGACCAAAGCGATTTGGGTCAAAAAATTGTCCGGAGAGCAGGCCGGGCGGCTGCACTGAGCCTCAGTTCAGGCGCAAGGAAGTCGGGAGTCGAGCGTTGAGCGTTGGGCCTGGAGCAAGGCGGCTGCTGGATTGGTCGGCTGCTGCGATCTGCTGTAGGCATCACAGCGAGCAAAGGCCTCATCTCCACTTTCTCGACAGTCTTGGTCACCACCTTCCTTCTGGCATCCGCATCAGTTGACTGGCTCCCCTTTGCCTTTTCTCTTCATCCTCCTTCCTTTCTTCAGGCGTTCCATCCTGTCGACGCTCGTTGCTCGCACTTCCCAACCGACACCGACCTTCGTGCTCGGACTCGTGCGACCTTTGCAACCCGGCTCTCGTTCGTTTCGTCGACTTTTGCGGTCACCATGTCTGCTCCAGTAGCGCCTCCACAGGCCACCGCCTATCCACCAGGCGTCCAGGCTCCGCCTCCCTCGGGTGCCGAGCGCGTGGGCCCCGGTGCACCTTCGCCGTTCGTCGACGAGAAGCGCGCCGCCTACCCCTCGGGCCTCACGCCGCCCATCTCGTCGCAACCATCGACGTCGATGTTCGGCTTCTTCCAGCCCATCGTTGCGCCGCTCAACAATGCGCTCGCCACCATCCAGGACATCCGCACGCGCCTCGAGCTCTCCAACCCGGGCACGGTGGAGCACCTGCAGCGCGAGGTCAAGGGCGTGCACACCACCAACTTTATGTTTGACGGCGCACGCGCCGACCTCACCAAGGCGATCAGCATCAACCCCATCTTCCAGGTGACGCACGCCTTCTCCATGGGCTCGCAGGGTGCGCCGTCGTCGTACAACTTTGGCGCCGTGTACGGCGACAACAAGAACTTCTTCCAGGCCGGACTCGACGACGGCCTCAACGTCACCATGCGCGCCAACCGCGGCTGGGTGGCGGGCCACACGACCAAGGTGCAGGCGCAGCTCACCGCCACGCCCGGCCAGTCGTTTGTGCAGGTGGAGCACGACTACCAGGGCACCGACCACTCGGCGAACCTCAAGGCGCTCAACCCATCACCCACCGACCTGACGGGCATCTACATTGTCAACTACCTGCAGAGCTTGACGCGCAACTTTGCGTTTGGTGTCGAGACGGTGTACCAGCGTCCGTCGGCGGACATGGAGGAGGCGAGTACGGGCTACATTGCCAAGCTGACGGGCGACAAGAAGGACTGGATCGCCACGGCGCAGGTGCAGCCGCAGGGCGTGGCGCAGTGCACGTACTTCCACAAGCTCTCGGAGCAGGTGGATGTGGCGGCGGATCTGCAGGTGATCACCATGGCGCAGAAGCGCGAGGCGGCGGCTACGCTGGGTGCGCGCTACAACTTCCGCATGGCCACGCTGCGCGCCCAGATCGACTCGGCGGGAAAGCTGAGCTCGGTGTACGAGACGCGCCTCTCGCCTGCGTTTGGACTGACGTTCGCGGGCGAGATCGACCATCTGCAGGGCGCCGCCAAGTTCGGATTCGGCGTGTCGATCGAGTCGGGCAACGAGATGGACCCCAACGCACCGCCTCCCACGCCGCCCTCGGTGCCCATGTGAGCGCGGCGCGAGCTCAACTGCACTCGCACTCGCACACTGTCTACCGCCACCACCACCACCTCTCTCCCCTTTCACTCCCAACCCGCCACCATCAAAAGATGAGCCGATCCCCACAGCTCAACGCTCGTACCACCGATCTCTTCAGCCTTGATACTAGTTGTTGTCGCCGCCCTTTTTTCATGTGCCACTGTTTCCCCTCTTCACTGTATTAAGCTCCTCTGGACAGACACAAACACATGCACACACATGCACAGAAGTATCCTTGATCCGGGTGTGTTTACGAGTGTGCAAAGTTTTCGGGTGTAAGGATTGGAGGTGCGTGTGGGGATACAAGTACAAGAGAGATTGCGATGCGGTTGGGGGGACTGAAGCGAGAATTTAGGAGGCTGCGCCTTGGTCGGGTAGACGTTCGATGCGGAACTGTCTGGATGCGATGTACATGAGCGGGATACCGGGGACCTTTCTGACCCTCCTTCGAAGTTCTCGATCGCATGTTGCAACGATGTAGCACTTGTGCGATTGGATGCGTTCGATAATGCAATCATCCGCATACGTTCCCTTGTGACTGCATTCCAACCTTTCGAACCTTGGATCTCTGGCGACCCTGAGGGCGATGCGGTACTTTGGACCTAGCTTTTCGAGCTCCGAGATGACGCAGGTCGTAATGCACGGGATGCTCTTTGCGTACAGACAGTCCATCATCCCCTGCACGAGTTCGATCTTGTTCTGCAGGGCAAAGTTGATAAAGTTGGTATCTACCAACACGCGGTACGGTGGACCCAACTGCGTATTATGCTCGAAGAACATCGACGATGCCGGCGTGTCGATTCGACGAACGAGCGTTCCATCGGGTGTGATTTGTTGACCGTTCTCGTTGACGATCTTGCCTGACGCTGCCGCCTTCTTGGCAGCATCTGCCACCTTCTGCTTGGCTTTGAGTCGGTCATCGTTCGGATTGAGCATGCGCTTCACCTCGCCAAACTTTCGAACCTGCTTCTTCTTGCCCATTGTGCGCCAACTTCCGCGGTCAGGTGCGTTTGTGCCTGTCGATACTGTGTGCGTTTGCGTGTGCGTTTGCGTGTGTGTTTGCGTGTGTGCGTGCTCGTGCGATCAACGCAGCCAGAGTGTGAGCCGGATGACGGTGTCAGGTGTGGATGGTGGCAAGCGCGAAAAGGTGTGAGAGAGGGTCCGACAAGTTTGGCGAGCTAAAAAATCGCTCGCCTGCCCTGCAGCTCAATTTTTCGCCGCACACAGCTCCACTTTTTCCTTTCAGCCCGAGCTGGTGCGTAGCCAGTCTAACACGCCGAAAATTTCGCGCTGCTCACAACGTCCGTATCGGCGAGCATGACCCGGCGATCGATGCCAGAGTGACAGAGAGGTGCAATTGCAGAGCGATGCTGATGTAGTGTACATAGATATCAAGAAACACAAACGACAAGAGGAGAGACACGACAGAAAGACAGTAAGGCTAATGCCAGGGGCAAGGACAGCAGGACCAAGGACGACCGGCGTCAAGACTCGAGCAATCAATCGAGCAGCTTCGAGTCTTTCCACCTGCGCTCTCTGGGCTGCTCGGCGGGCGGCAGCTGCGACATGGGCGTTGATGTCCCGGACTCGAGCGATGCCGAGGAGGTGGCGTATCCGTAGTGGTGCACTTTGGTGCGGAGGAGCGTGGCGTAGAAGCGCTGTACGAGGAAGAAGCACTGCAGCCGCACCGCGGTGAAAACAAGCCCAAAGACGAGCAGCAGCGGCACGAGCGTTGTGCGGAAGCTCTCCTCGCAGTTCTCCGAGGCAAAGACGCCGTCCAGCAGCGTCTCCCATCCGGACGAGTCGACGATCCCATCCGGCCCCGCACCGCCGCCGACACCCGCGCCATTGCTGCCTACGCCAGCGCTGCCCGGGACCACCTGGGCGCCCGCACTGCCGGCAGCAGAGCCCTTGGCGGTCTTGGAGGGCGAGAACCAGGCCTGAAGCTCGCCGGAGCCGAATTCGTCGCAGAGGTGCGCGCGCACCGACGGGTAGGTGCACACGAGGGCGAGTGCGAAGAGCGAGAGTGTGGAGAGCAGAAAGTCGAGGAAGGAATGCAGCACGAAGAGGCGAGAGAGCAAGAGCTGGGAGCGCAGTACGCCGACTACGCCTGCACAGCAGCACATCACACTCAACAGGATGTACCAGCGCAACGTACCGATGACGAGGCGCAGCGCGTCCCACTGCATGCGTTCGGCGTCCTCGGCGCCCTCGTCCATGATTCGGTAGTTGACCGCAGCATCGGCAGCTTCGAAAGGGCGGCCAGGAGGAGGCGCAATAGCCTCGGCAGACTTGCCGCTTGTGGCCGACTGGTTCGCCGCGGCGTCGGGAGCAGCAGCGGGGCCCTGGTTAGGGACGTAGGAGAGGCCCTGTGCTTTGAGGTACGCTTTGGCCTCGGCGATCCATTCTGGCAGATATACATTCTTGTTGGTGGCATCTTCGCCGGCGGGCGGAGCGTGTGCGTACGACTCGAGCTGGCTCAGCACGTCCTTGGCGGCCGAATTGGCGAATCTGTCGGGGGACGGGACGAAAGCGGCCGAAGCTGGCGGCGGCAGCGGTGCGGAGGCTCGCTGCGGCACATCGGGTAAGGTGGAGCTGAGCGCGCCGAGCCAGGAGTAGGTGTTGAGATGGAGGATGATGCCGAGGATGGCGATGGCGAGCGTTGCGGTGCGGGGCGAGATGCAAGCAAGGAGGCCCGAGCCTGACGATTGGGACGACGAGCGACCCATGCCTGCCTCTATGCGTGATGCGCTATAGGATGGAGCGGAGCAAAACGAGGGACGCGACTAGAACCGATGCGGCAGAGCAAGTTGCGGCCAGCGTCGACGTGCATGGGGGATGGTGGAAGATGTGTGACAGGTGTGGTCGAAGGGAGCAAAGGGAGCGAAGGTTAGCTGCGGACCGACGCGAGAAGGCAGCGCATGGATCGACAGCTGAGAGTTCTTGGCAGGCAGAGAGGCGGCGTGTGATACCGGTGTAGAAGCGGCGGATCTTGAGTTTCCAGGTGATTGCCGCGCCTGAGACTAGGGAGCGGGGTTTAAGCTGAAAACGGGGGGTTCACTCGGAGTCGCCTTGCCGACTCACGAGCTCTGTGTTTGTTCCAAGGTGCCGACTCGGACTCCAGCCTCCGCCAAAAGGCACACACACGAGCCCCGTCCAAGGCCGAAGGATGCAAAGCATACACAGAGGCGGTCATGCGGGCCCTCTCGCTTCCTTCTGCGGGGGCATGCGTCGAAAGCATGCGCGAGGCATGTAGGAGCGGGCATATTCGCAGACCGCCTCGGTTCAGCCAAATTTACGCCAGCCAAGCTAGTCTGCTTGGTGCCTGGCCAGCTTGCCAAGACATCAGGGCGGGCGGAAGAGCGAGCGGCAGGTCCGAGCGCATTGGCCCAATTGTGGTCAGACGACCCCTTCCGACCTGCTGCTCTCTTTGCGGCTCCAGTTTCCGAAAATTGCCATTTCACGGCAGTCGCACCGCTGGCAAGTCCGCGGGGCTTAGCGGCCTCTTTTCTTCTTCTTCTTCCAGGGTCCAGCACCCATCGAGTCGGCGACCGATGCGACAACCTTGTCCACCTCTATACATTCACCAATCACACGCATCGCCTCTTCCGACCGCTGGAGCCAGAAGGGACGAGCTGGACGGGGCAGGTAAGCGCAGCATGTGGTCCATAGCTTCGATAGGCTCGCGGCGAGTTCGTCGGATCCACAACCTCCCTGGTCTTGCTCGCAAACACGCTTCCCTTTGCACCCTCGGCAGCACCGCCAAATCGCGGCTCATCCTGGGCATCGAGACGTCCTGCGATGACTCGTGTGCTAGTGTCGTAGCTTCCGACCGCACCATCCTGTCTTCCGTCGTCACAAAGCAGGATCACTCGTCCTTCGCCGGGATTCACCCCCTCGCCGCCGCGTTGGGTCATCATACCAACCTCCCTTCCACCATCGCAGCTGCGCTCGACGAAGCCAGCATCCAGGCCTCGGATCTCGATGCTATCGCCGTGACGCAGGGCCCTGGCATGGCCAGCAGCCTCGGCGTCGGTCTGACAGCCGCCAAGACGCTCTCTGCCGTCCTCCGCAAGCCTTTGATCTACGTCCACCACATGCAGGCACACGCTCTCACGCCCCTGCTCACCGAAGAAGAGCCGCCACAATTCCCATTCTTGGTTCTGCTCGTATCCGGAGGCCACACCATGCTCGTTCTTGCCACCAGCATCACCGAGTTTCGCATCCTCGCTACCACCAGCGACGACTCCATCGGCGATGCCTTCGATAAGGTCGCCCGCGATCTCGGCATCCCGTGGACCTCGGCGCCCGGAGCAGCCCTGGAAGCGCTCGCCGCAAAGCACCACGGTGCATCCTCAATCGACCCTCCCACCTTTCCCCTTCCTTGCAAGGGACAGCCAGCCTTCTCGTATTCAGGACTCAAAGCAGCAGTGCAGCGCCACATCGAAGCCCACCAGGCTGCCCTCGACGACGCGAGCAAGTCGGCCATCGCACACGCGTTCCAGTCGGCAGCATGTGCTCAGCTCGAGGATAAGCTCAGTATGGTCCTCCGTCCTTCCAGCGCGATCGAGGACGCTCGGGGCCGCAAATTCCCGCGCATAGCACTCGAAGGGCCAGGTTTCAGCGACCGCATCACCGCGATCGTATGCAGTGGCGGCGTGGCGAGCAACCACTTTCTGCGCGCACGCCTGCGCACCCATCTCGATACGCTCGGACGACGCGATGTCCAGCTCCAGTTCCCACCCCTTTCGCTGTGCACCGACAATGCAGCCATGATCGCCTGGGTCGGCCATCTCATCTACCACCAGCGCACTACCGACTACTCGCGCCACGCCACGCCAAAGTGGAGCATCCAAGATATCCCGCGCTGATCGCATTGTATTGCAAGCTATGCTTCATCTCGTCTACTTTGTGCTATCGGACCGGACGCGTTTATGCGGTCCCCACGGCGTGCCGATCTCGGGCCCGTCATCTTGGTCGCGTTTGTGACTTTGTCGATCCCGGCCTACTTCCGCGAAGAACTTGGGACCCGAGGCCGGGGCTTGCTTTCGGGCGCGCGACGCTTCCGCACGGCGTTCCGAGTCCCACAGGAAGAAGTTGCACCGATACTCTGGGTTCACATCGCCCTTGGCCCGGCCCGTCTTTTCGTATCCGGGGCCGACGGGGCGCGAACAGAGCCAGAACTTGCGTCCGTGGTTCGGACCCGGCTTGTTCACCGTCCATGCTCGACACGCTTCCGAGTGCCGACACAGCGGAGGTGGGAGGGGCGAGAAGATGGCGCCCCATGCGAGCGAAGCGCCGATCCGGTCCGTTGCCGACTGCTCCGAGCCAGCGGGGCGCGGGGGAGATGCGGACGCTTGGTCCTGAAACTCCTGAATCGCATCGTCGTCTGGCATATCGCACCCCGCATCAGAAGCGTCAGCCGATGCACCGACGCTGTCCACTTGATCGCTTGGCTGCGAGGGCGGGGCCTGCTCAGTCGTGCCAGAATCTGAGCCAGCTGCGGTAGAGGAGGAGGATGCTGGACGTGCAAAGAACGCCTGCAGACTCGTCTGGCCCTTGAGCCCCGCCGCAGGCTTGCCTCTGGCGCTATCCTTACCCTTACTCGCAACGGCGCGCTTTGGCGAGCCTCCGTTCCGCTTTGTCGGCGATGCCTCCGCAGACGAGTCTCTGCGTGGTACCACGGACGGGCGAGCCGGTACCGATGCTACAGGCGACGCTGTCTGAACTGGATCCGGCTTGGTCGGCGAGGGCGTCGAGGGGAGCGCAGCAGCTTGCTCGCTACGAGGCGCCGGCGACGCGCACTCGACATGCAACCCCTCTTGCTGCGAGTGTAGCGAAAACAACGAATCGACCAACGAGCTCGACTCGGCCTCGGGTTCTCCCGGCGTCGGTGCGTGCTGATTGTCCCGTGCTTGAGAAAGTGCAAGTCCGGCAGCTGGTGCACAAACAGAGGCAGACTCTGTCCGTTGGGACGAAGCATCTTTCCGCGCATGCGACGCGGCCGGAAGTTCAGTCCGCTTGATGGCTGGAGTGCGAGCAGCACTGAAGAACGACGCGAGCTTGCGCTGCTTGCCCGAGAACTCGTCGTAGTGGCACGCCGCCAGTGCAGGCGGCAACCGTGTCGCACCGCCGTGCATCAGCTCCGCGAGCCTGACCGTCTTGCCGTCGACCTCCCTCTCGTCATGCAGATCGATGTAGATCGGGCAGTGGTCGCTTCCGTATATGTCGGGCTGAATATCTGCGCCCTTGATCCAAGGCAGCAGACCTTCGGACACCAAGGTATAGTCGAGCCTCACGCCGTAGTTGGCCGGGCGGGCGTCGATGAGTGTATTCCAGCACGTAAACATCTTCCTGCGCTCCGGGTGGAACATCCTTCCGACGTCGTGAAACTTTCCCTGTGGGGCGAGGAAGGAGGCGAACCACGCACGCGCAGGGTGTTGGTGGAAGTGGTCCCAGCCGTTTTCGCGCATGCTCTGTTCTGGATCGCAATGGTCGATGGGGTCGCGGATGATATTCATGTCGCCTACGATCATGACGTTCCTGCCCGCGGCGATGAGACGGTGTGCGCGCTCGGCGAGACACTGGTAGTAGGTCATCTTGTACTCGAGCCTCTCTGGGCCCGTTTCGTTGGGGCAGTACACGTTGAACAGCACGAACAGACCGAGGTCCACAACTACTGCACGTCCTTCGTCGTCAAGCGCCTGCCACAGCTGAGGCTCTACATCATCGCGCATATCTGTGGGAATATGACCGACGGGCTCGTTCGGTACCGCCGGGTTGGAGGGCGCGGGAGTGTCGCACAGACGACCTGTGATACCTTGCTCCGCTTTGAGCGGGATCGAAGCCGACTTGCGGACGTAGGTGACCGTGCCCGAATAGCCCTTGGTAGGATGAAAGTTGAAGAAGGCGTTGTAGGAGGGCAGGATACACATGGCTTCCGTGAGCTGCTTGCGCGTCATCTTGGTCTCCTGGAAGCATGCAATGTCTGCACCGAGATGCTCCAGGCACGCCTCCCAGTCCGGCAGCTTGTACCATGGCTGGTAGCCCTTCAGCGTCCGCAGACCGTTGATGTTCCACACCGTTATCCGCATCGCTTCGGTAGTCGAATACCTAAGTCTGGATCTTGAGGCCTTGCGGATGCTTCAGCCGAAGCGCAAACCTGTGCGCAGATCTACGGATTTGGCCCCATCGGTTGGGTAGCCGGTGTATAAAGTTGATGGCAAGGACAGATGCACGGAATGACTCGCTTTTACCGTCAATCTGCAAGCATGACTACATTCGACGTCGTCGGAGCTGTTTGGTCGGGCTGGTGGAGTGCAGAGTAGGTGTTGGTCTTGCGGAGGTGGAGGCATGGACGTAATCGATCGGGTGCATATTGAGCCTATCGGGCTGCAGGCCCCCACCAAAGTTGGCTTTCCGGTATCAGCCTCGACTTCTTCACGCTCCAGCTTCTCCACACTTCAGCCTCCCCACCATCTAGCCGCCATCCGCTGCGACCCGACCTCTTCTGTGCCATCTGGCACTGCGACCTCAACCGAAAGATCGAGCGCGAATCTGATCCGCACGCTTGCCAACAATCGCCCCACCGATGGACACGGCCTGATCCGCCTCTCGCTAGAGTCTCGCCGCGCCGGCCTCAGCATTTGCGGAAGCTGTATTCTTTCTGACCTCCGCAAGAGAAGGAGCTGTGCAGTGTCAAACTCACTGAAAATCTTCGCCGCCACCATGGATGCATCTGCGCCAGCCCGTCCGTCATGGGCCGAGATCGAAGAGGCTACGCGCAGTGGTAAGGATCTGGTCCCAACGTGCTCAGCCTGACGTACGCGCACCGAACTGACACTAAAGCGGCTTGATACCTCTCTTGCCTGTCTTTGCAATCGCTCAGATGCTGGCTCACCCGCGACCACGCTCGTCGACTCGCCCGCGTGGCACTTTGACGACACGATCGTGACCGACTTTGGGCCTGCGGCGCTGGACGACGAGGTGGAGATCGTCGAGTGCGCCGACTGCCGCAAGCCCGTGCTGCGCGATGCGCTTAGCTTTCATCAGCAGAACTGCAAGCTCGCACGCGACATTGCGTCCGGCCGCATCTCACCGTCGATCCTCGAAGGTGACCCCAAGAAGCGCCGGATGATGGAAGGTAAACTACCACCTGGGCGCGACACACATCGAAGCTGCTTTACTGACGCGCCTTTGTTCACTGCGATGCCGGCAGATGATGACGAGAGTATTTTGGGCGACGATACCGGCATTCCGCTTACGAAGAAGCAGAAGAAAGAGAAGCGACTGGCGGAGGAGAAGCGCAAGGGCGGACGCAAGAACAAGGGTCCTATCGATGTGGACAAGCAGTGCGGAGTGATCAACGACAAGGGCCTGCCGTGTTCGCGCTCGCTCACGTGCAAGTCGCACTCGATGGGTGCCAAGCGTGCGGTCGAGGGCCGATCCGCGCCGTACGATACGCTCTTGTTCGAATGGCAGAAGGCGACCAACCCGAGCTTTGTGGCCAAGCTCGAAGAGAAGGAAAAAGCGATCGCGGCTGCCAAAGCCGCTGCTGCAGCCGCACCGCCCAAGGAGAAGAAGAAAAAGGGCGTCAAGGACGGCAAGGCCAAAGGCGGAGCGGCGGGCGCTGGTGCAGCTGGTGCAGGTCCCGCAGGCACAGCTGGGGGTGCAGCAGCGTTTATCGAGGACGACGATATGGACATGTTTGACGCAGGCGCCGACGAGGACCAGATGGAACAGGAGCTCATGGCCGTGCTCGGCTCTGTGGCCCACGCGGCTTCGCGCGATAGGACCATGCCGTTGCCGCTGGCGACGCGCTCGTTTGTCGGCTCCTACACCAGCCGCGCAAAACGCATGCGCAACCTGCGCGAGCTGCTCCGAGAGGGCCTCGCGCCCGGAGGCGGCGCGTACGGCATCAACGGCTACGCCACCTGGAACAACTTCCGCCCAGGCACCTACCCTCCAAACTCCACCGCAAAGAAGGGCGTCGCCATGGGCGCCTAGTCTGCCTAGCCTTCCTGTCTCGTATCGTCTTCGCTTCGTCGTTCGCATTGTAATTGTATCCCTAAACTGTCCAACACCCGTTTTCACGTAGGCTATGCTGGCCGCGACTCTTTTTCTCGCCTAGTTCAGTGCGTAGACAGTGTTCTGACATGCGATAAGTTGGCCGTGGATCCGGCATTTCGAGGCAAGCGGGTCGGCGATACAAATACAAGGATCAAGAGCGGAAACAGCGCCGGGGGCATCGAAGCAGTCGACGTGCTAGCTGGATGCGGACACGGTGGTGGATGTGTCGGGCGTGGCATCGTCGCGCGCGCGTGCGATGGCGCCATCCAGGTCGATGGGGATGCGCACCATGGTATCGATCAGCGCAGGCTTGCTGTTGGGTGCCGGACCGTAGTTGTACAGATCGTCCTCTTCCTGTTCGGTCGAAGTGTCTTCGGCGCCCTCCGCTGTGTCTGTCGGCGGGTTGGTGAACACCGTCGAGGCTGAAATACCGCGCGATCAAGGAAGAGGAGCTTCGTTAGTGCATTGCACAAAGCGGTGATCTAGATGGGTTGTTTGTGCTTACCCCTTGCGATCTGAATGGCGCGGAACACGCCCTGCCACGACCCCATGACCGACGCAATAGCTATCCGACACCACATAGTCAGCAAAATCCCGTCGACCTCTCTCCGAGATACCGGCATGCACTTACAGTCGCCTCCGTCTGCCATTTGGTCCACAGTTTCAGCCAACCTCTCGAGTTCCTTGACCATCTTGGCCGACTGGTCCTTGAGCGCTCTCAGGCCCTCGAGCTCGGCCTGTTTCGACACGAGCCTCGCCTGGTTGGCCGACGAGCTGGGGCCTCCGAACATCATGTTGGCGTTGGCCTGTGGATACATCGACTGACGCCCTGCACCGGGTCCTGCGATACTTGAAGATCTGGCTGCCATGGTTGGAAATGCGCGAGAGCGGTGGATGGTGTCAGATGGTGGTGGGTGGTGTGGAGCGCCAGTGTTGATCTCGCCGCGATTTGCTCAAAAGACCAACACGCGCGCGCGTTCATGACGGCTCACATTTACGCGTCTGTTCAGCCGCCCTACCAAGACCCAAGAAAAATAATACCTAGCTTGCGTCCCGGCCTCCTCTCAACGCCCTGCTCAAAAACGGCCACCGACCCAAAGAATCCTCGGCACGGATTTCCGGCTTCGTTGAGCTGGAATGGCACATCACAGCCCAATCGACGCAACATCAAGGGAATCAAATGTATGAATGTGGAAACGAATCTCAATGAACAAACAGGCAACGTGCACAATGGCATTCCGATCGAATCGGAAGGGCAGAGGAGGGTGGGGGGCCACCTTAGTCGGTGAGCGTGCGGAAGGCCTCGGTGATGTCCTGGTTGAGCTTGTCGAACTTCTTGGTGATGGCCTCCTCGCCGTCCTTGGGGCTCTCGAACTTCTGCTGGGTGAGGCGGTAGATGACGTCGGAGCAGTGCTCCTTGACCTTGGCCCAGGTCATGTCCGGGTTGTTGGCGATGGCGGCCTGTGCGCGGTCGTGGAAGTCGACCATGTTCTTGAGCATGCCGGTGGTCTTGTAGAAGGGGCAGTAGGCGTCGTACTCGGAGATACCGTTCTGCTGCAGGTAGTCGTCCTTCATGATCTTGGCCACGTCCAGCGTCACCTTGTCGCCCTCGCCGAGCGCCGACTTGCCGACCAGCTGCACAATCTCGGCCAGATCCGTGTCCTTCTGAAGCATGTTCTTGGCGGTGGTTCGGAGCTGGATGAAGCCCGGCTTGTTCTTCTCGTAGTACGGCTCGAGCGCGTTGATGTAGTTGGAGTAGGAGACGTCCCAGTTGACCGAGGGGAAGTGCTTGCGTTGCGCCAGCTTCTTGTCCAGACCCCAGAAGGCACCCACGATACCCAGCGTGGCCGACGTGACCGGGTCGGAAAAGTCACCACCGGGCGGCGAGACGGCACCCACGATCGAGATCGAGCCCTCGCGCTCAGGCGAACCGAGACAGGCGACGCGACCGGCACGCTCGTAGAAGCTGGCCAGCTTGGCACCCAGGTACGCCGGGTAGCCGGAATCGGCCGGCATCTCGGCCAGACGACCCGAGATCTCACGCAGAGCCTCGGCCCATCGCGAGGTCGAGTCGGCCATCATGGCCACGTTGTAGCCCTGGTCACGGAAGTATTCGGAGAGCGTGATACCCGTGTAGATCGACGCCTCTCGCGCAGCCACGGGCATGTTGGATGTGTTGGCCACGAGCGTAGTACGCTTCATGATCGGGAACTCTTCGCCGTCCCTCATGAGCGTGAGCTCGGGGAACTCGGCGAGCACTTCGGCCATCTCGTTTCCCCTCTCCCCACAGCCTACATAGGTGATGATGTCCGAGTTCGAGTATTTGGAGAGCGCCTGGGAGATGACGGTCTTGCCACAGCCGAAGGCACCGGGGATGGCGGTGGTACCGCCCTGGATGCAGGGGAAGAGCGAGTCGAGGATACGCTGGCCGGTGAGCAGCGGGTTGTTGGCCTGCAACTTCTCGGCGACGGGACGGGGCGCACGGACGGGCCAGATCTGGAGCATGGTGTGCTTCTGCTTCTTGCCCTGGAACTCGGTCTCGAGCACGACGTCGTCGACCGAGTAAGAGCCCTTCTCGGCGATGTGGGTGATGGTGCCCATAGCACGCGGGCCGAGCATGAGCTTGTGGTCCTTGAGCAGCGAGTTCTCGTAGACGGAACCGAAGATGTCACCACCGCTGATGTGGTCGCCGACCTTGAGCTGGCCGGGAGTGAAGTCCCAAGAGAGTTGACGGTCGAGCGCCTGCGTGTTGATACCTCGGGGAATGTAGATACCGCCGCTCTTCTTCATGATGGACTCGAGCGGACGCTGGATGCCGTCGTAAATGTTCTCCATGAGACCGGGGCCGAGCTCGACGGAGAGGGGCTTGCCAGTACTGAGCACGGGGTCACCGACGGAAACGCCGGAAGTCTCCTCGTACACCTGGATGGTGACCTTGTCGGCGTCGATTCGGATGATCTCACCGACGAGCTCGTCGTGGCCGACACGCACGAGCTCGTACATGCTCGAGCCGATCATGTTCTCGGCGACGACGACGGGACCAGAGACACCGAACACGGTACCAAAGCGTTGCTCGCGCTCCTCATCGCGGATCTTGGGGAGGTCCTTTTTTTGGGACGCCATGGTGAAGGGTTGGGCTGGATCGATGTGCGAGTCGATGTGGAAGCTGGGGAGGAGATGACCCTCGATCTCAAGACTCGGCGTGCGGAGCTGAAGTGCGCGAGCTCTGGATGAGGATGATGGTGGATTCAGGAGGAGATGATGAAGGCGGAGTGGAGTGGAGGACGAAGAAGCCAGGCTGGTGATAGGAACGTGGCGAGTGGATTGCCTGAGTCTCGAGGATAGATTCGGACTTGGCGCACTGGCTGACACTGGCACCGGCCCACGAACTCGCACTGGCAGGTGGAGCGTGCTCGCAGGCTGCGACAGGGGGAGACGGCAGATGCCCACTTTCCCTCAGCAGCGGTCGCATTCCGACTGGCACTGCACGCTGCTGAGGCTGAGCTTGGCTCGTTCGCAGCCTCCTCGTCGGGCTTCAGCTTCAGCTGCTGGTGCGATGCGGCGGCCCCTTAGCCCTGACGGCATGGGCCTTGCGAAAAAGGAGACTGCAGAATGTGAGCGATGTTACACCGCAGCGCATGACAACTGTGAAAAGTCAAATGCTCCACTTCCAAGGCTGTGATCGACTCGAGCTCAGCAGCTGCTGAGCACGCTCGGACACGCCGGGGCTGCAGCGGCGCGTCAGCTGGGCGGGAGCTGCGAGCCACAGTCGGTTGAGTTGACGACGCCTCCACGAGCCACTCGACAGAGAGTGACACTCGAGTGTCCAACTCGTACCGCTTTCTTCTCTTGCGCTACGAGCTTCCCACACATCGCATCAGCACTCATCGTCACCACACCGCTATACGTGCACTCATCCGGCACAACTCAATACCGCGATCTATCCGGCAACTGCTGCGACGACAGCCAAAGCACCGACCCTCCTAGTCGCCACACCTCGCCTTTCCGCACATCATGCCGCCCAAAGCCGACTGGGAAAAGTACAAGAAGCCCGATCTGGACTCCAAAGATGAGGAGAAGATCGTCGCGCTAGACGAGGGCGACATCCAGCTTCTCAAGACATATGGCCAAGGCCCCTATGCAGCTTCCTTGAAGGGCATCGAAAACGAGATCAAGGAGCTCCAGAAGCGCGTCAACGAAAAGATGGGCGTCAAGGAGAGCGACACCGGTCTCGCACCACCCAACCTCTGGGATCTTCCCGCTGACCGACAACGCATGGGCGAGGAGGAGCCTTTGCAAGTCGCCCGCTGCACAAAGATCATCAAAGCCGACGATGGCAAGAAGGAAGGCGAATCCTCGGCAGAGGGCGACGCCAACGGAAGCGCAGCTGGTCGTTCGGGTGGCGGTCTCGGAGGAATGGGTGGGCTCGGCGGCCTTGGCGGTCTCGGTGGCTCGCCGCCGCCTACAGCAGACGAGGAGGACAAGTACGTGATCAACGTCAAGCAGATCGCCAAGTTTGTCGTGTCGCTAGGCGAGCGTGTGGCGCCTACAGATATCGAGGAGGGCATGCGCGTCGGCGTCGACCGCACAAAGTACCAGATCCAGATCCCACTGCCTCCCAAGATCGACCCTTCCGTCACCATGATGCAGGTCGAGGAGAAGCCCGACGTGACGTACGGCGACGTGGGCGGGTGCAAGGAGCAGATCGAGAAGCTGCGAGAAGTCGTCGAGCTGCCGCTGCTGTCGCCAGAACGTTTCGTCAACCTCGGCATCGACCCACCCAAGGGTGTGCTGCTCTACGGCCCGCCCGGTACGGGCAAGACGCTGTGTGCTCGAGCCGTGGCGAACCGAACCGACGCCACCTTTATCCGCGTCATCGGCTCCGAGCTGGTGCAAAAGTACGTCGGCGAGGGCGCGAGGATGGTGCGCGAGCTCTTTGAGATGGCGAGGACCAAGAAGGCGTGCATCATCTTCTTTGACGAGGTGGATGCGATCGGTGGTGCGCGATTCGACGACGGTGCAGGCGGCGACAACGAGGTGCAGCGTACCATGCTTGAGCTCATCAACCAGCTCGACGGCTTCGACGCACGAGGCAACATCAAGGTGCTCATGGCCACCAACCGACCGGACACGCTCGACCCGGCGCTTCTGCGTCCCGGTCGTCTGGATCGCAGGGTGGAGTTTGGTCTGCCGGACAACGACGGCCGTGCGCACATCCTGCGCATCCACGCACGTTCCATGTCCGTCGAGCGCGATATCCGATACCACCTCATCGCGCGTCTGTGCCCCAACGCGACAGGTGCTGAGCTGCGCTCCGTCGCCACCGAGGCAGGCATGTTTGCCATCCGCGCAAGGAGAAAGATGGCCACAGAACGCGACTTCCTCGACGCCGTCGACAAGGTCATTCGCCAGGGCTCCAAGTTTTCCTCCACAGCCCTGTATGCCCAGTATAACTAGGCGTTCGATGTGTCTCCAAGTTCATTTCCGCATGTACCACCATCTGCCCTCCTTACGCAATACGACACTTCCAAGACAAGTTTCTGGTGCTGGTATTGGCGTCAATTCGGTGTCAGAGGGTATGCAAGAGACGATCAGGAGTGGTCGTCTTCAGATTGGCCGGGGCAATTTTGTTCGAGGTCGTGTTGGTCGTTGTAGGAGCAACCGCAAAAGAGGCAGTAACTGTGACTGGTTCTGAGGCAATCCAGGACGAGTCGAAGCTGGGATTTCGTATCGAGGTTGCAGAACTTTTGCGCCTCCTTTTGCTGTGAATCTTGGGCCGAGAAGGCGTGTTGGAGGAGGTGGACTGCGTTTTTGAAAGCGGGGTCCTTCTCCATACGTTCGTCGATCGTCTGTGGGTCGGAGTCGGCAGAATGACCCGATAGCAGGTGGTAGAGGGGCGCGTCGAGCCAGAGTGGGCTGTACTCGATACCCTCTGCGCGGTCGAGGTCGATCAGAGTCTTGCGTGCGCGCGTGAGAAGGTTGAGCTCGTGCCGCTCTTGGTGTGCGCGAGAAACGCGGGTGCGGAAATCAGCCACACGTGCTTCATCGTCGGGGAAAGGGCTCGAGGAGGATGCGGAAAGGATGGCCGCGGAGACGTCCGGCTTGGTTGGCGGGATCATACCGATTCCCGCGCGTCGGTGCAGGCCAAGCCAGCGCTGGTCCGGACGAAGAGGCTCCGTCAGACCGGTGGATGTCACACAGGGGCCAGCTTGCAGGGAGAATGGTGCCGATGAAACGCCGCCGGTCAGGTACTCGTCTTCTTCGCGCGCGTCAGAGTCGTCTCTCTCGCGGCGTGCTGCATCTTCCTCGTCCGTATCGAGGCCCTCCGCGTCCGTATCGTCCAGTGGAGCTTGCGTCCCACCGGCTGCTGGCTTGGCATCGACTTGTCCCTCGTCTTGATCGTCTTCTTCCTCCTCCTCCTCTTCGACTTCTTGACTGCCGCCTCTCTGCCTCCTCCCTAGCGCCTCTCCACGCCGATACCCCATGGCAAGCATCATCTTCATCGCCTTGGACGTGCCATCCAGCCCCTCTGACGCAGCGGCATAACCGTTCCGACTTTCTCTCTCCTGCATCAGCTCCCACCTGCGCGTTCCGTCGCTTGCTTCGGGAGGCAGTGTGCCGCCACCAGCAATGATCTCGGCCTCGGCGAGCAGATCGCGATCGAGCCCCTGTTGCCGTGCCTCCTCCTCTTGTTGGCTAAGACTCTTGCGCGTCTTGCGCGAGTGGTGCGCCTCGAGTCGTCGGCGCTTATCGGTGTACGTCAGCGGCTGCTTCTCCTCCGACGTGACCAGGAACTTGTCCGACATGAAGTCATCATCTTCGTCTGCATCCTGTCCACCAGCTTTGCTCCCCGTAGAATCGGCAGCGGCGGCTGAGGCGGTCGGTTCGGCTTGAATCTCCGACAGCAGCTTGAGCGGATCGAATCGCTGAATCGACCCTGAGCTGTTCCCAGCGCGCGGCTTCATGGTCGTTCGCGAAGGTGCTGAGGGCGGTCTTGACTATGGACGTCTGTCGCTGAGTTCTGCAGTCGCTGGAGGTTGACATTCCGGCCGCAGCCTCCACACTCAGACCCTGAATCCCGCTCAAATCGCCGTGCCTTCAGACCTAACAAATTCGGCGATTTCGCAAGGTCTCTATCTCGCACTCAAGACTGACTTGACCCCCGGCAGACTGGGCTCAAGAAGATCTGGGCAAAGTGGCGTATTGATTAAGCGATACATCAAAGTACAACGACGATGGGCGGTCAACGATCAGGGGTGGCGACGCTTGGATCGTGTTATACACGCATTTTGCAACGTCCTGGTTCCTGAAGAGCGTACTGAGAAGGGGTTGGTTGAGCGAGCGCAGTGATCGGCACGCGGCGGTCGGCCTTCGTGGAGATTCTGCGTTCACGAAACGAGCAAGAAAGGTGCGATGCGCTCAGAGAGACTTGGTGCGAGCCTTCTGACGGTCCTCGAGGTCCTTGCCGACGAGCACCTTGGCAGCCTTCCAGAACTGGACGCAGTTGATGATCTGCTTGGCTGCGCAGATGGGGAAGGTGATTGCGCCGACGATCTGTGGCCAGCTGAGGAGGGGTGTCTCCTTGATGATGTACGCGATCCAGGGCGAGGCACGGAGGGCGGGCGGGCAGAGGAAGAAGAGGGGCTCGATGTCGAGGCCGAAGGGTCGCTTGTAAAAGTCCATGAGGTAGAGGCAGACGAAGAAGAGCTCGTTGCCTGCGCAGAACATGAAGAGCGTCCTGCTGTCGTTGTAGTAGTACCAGAGGATCTTGGAGACGTCCGAGGTGACGATCTTGTGCGATGCGGAGCCGGTGACGAGCGAGCTGTACATGTGGATGTAGTGCGAGCTGAAGTCGAGCGTGATGAGGCCCTGGAAGATGACGGCGCAGCGTGGGTAGGCGGCGGTGAGGAAGCAGAGCAGACAGGCGGTGGTGCAGCGGTCGGTAACCATGTCGAGCACGGCACCAAACTTGGTCGACTGTCCGAGCGCCCTCGCAGCCATGCCGTCAAAGGCGTCGAGCAGGCACGAGACGCCGTAGAGGAGCGTGCAGACCTTGGGGTTGCCCTTCATAAAGTAGAGCGAGAGGGCTGCCAGGACGACACGGGCGTATCCTATCAAATTGGGGACGAAGAGGAAGACGTTCTCGTCCGCCTCGTTGGCCCTCTGGATGAGCGACTCGGTCTTGCCGTCGGAGGATCCGTTGGCAGCCGCCACATCGGCTGCTGTGGATTTGGAGTTGCGAGTGTTCCTCGGCATATTGGCGGTCGCAGAGTCAATCCGGTTGGCTACGGCTACACTGTCTGAGAGACGATTGGCGCTTCGATTGGCGCTGGGTGACACGTTGAGGTCGAGAGCAAGCTGGATCGCGTGTCGGATGCGTCCAAGACTGAATTGGCGGAAGTGCAACGGTGCGCTTGAAGTGGGCTATGAGCTGCCTTTGCCTACACGTGGGATGGACGAAACAAAGCGCAAAGGAGCGTGACGGAAGGGATGGCCCAAGGTGCTGGTGGTTGGATGGAGACGTTGCGGTGTTGAAACAAAGGCAGCGAGCCTGGCGGATGGATGCTTGCGGGCGGACGGACGGCCGGAAGGGCGAGCGAGCGAGCGAGACAAAGAGAGTGACGCACCGAGTGCAGAGAGGCAGCGCGCTTTTTCGGGATGGCTCGACCGAACCGGAAATGGAAGCAAAGTGGAGTGCGTCGCGAGTGCCTCTCTGCTGCCTGTCAGTGGTGGATGGCAGCGTCGAGCCGCGGCAGTGCAGCCAGCCAGCGAGTGCAGTCAGAGTGAGTGCCTTTTGAGCTGCAAACAAATTCAACAAATTCCTGGATTTTGGCGCCTGCTTGCGGGTCCCAGGAAAACGCGTGAAATGGCCTTTCTGATCTCCGCTGATCTCTCCAACCGCCCTGCTCAGCCAGTCGAGTCGAGCTCCGAGCTCCGAGAGACAGCAGAATGCCAAGCCAAAGCAAGAGCTTGTCCGCTTAGCAGCCAGAGATGGGCGCTCCGTCGTGCCGGGTTGCGGAAAAGCAAAAAAAGCAAAGCAAAGCAAAGCGAGCCGCTAAAGTCGCTCGGTCCGGTTCATCCAGATGTCTGGCCTACATCCAATGCTTCTTCATTCTATCACCAGACACATGAGGTGGCGTTTGACGTCGCACCTTTGACATTTTCCCAGCAACTGCCGACATCGTATGGTGATAAAGGGGAAAAATACTCTACTTATGTTAGGCCTCCTATTATGATTTCAGCGAACCGCGGAAATGCGGATGTTGGTCCGAGAGCCGGGAAAGCGGTTCTGTTGCGGGTCCTTCCAACCCCCACACACGCTGCTGCTGTGGCTGCTACTTCACCTTGGGCGACCTTGTCATACGATGAAGCGCTGACACCATGTCTGCTCGCAAGCCTCGCAGCGACGCGGCCCGCGGGGGCATCGACACCTTTTCCTCACCATGCTACACAATACCCTGGCAGCCCAAGAAAAAGGCAAAGCGTGCCTCGAGCAAGGCTGCGCTCGACGGCTCCAGCGAGCCTCCGTTCCCTGTCCTCGCTGAGTTCGAGGCCGATAGCGACCCGGCCTACGTTCGATACAACTCCTACTGTATCGCAGTACAGAGGACCGAGGCGCTCTTCGAGAGGTGCATGGACCTCGTCTACACGCCCCTCTTTGAGGATCTCAAATCCTTCTTCCACACCGACTCGGGCTCCAGCAACCCCAACGCCCATCCCGTCTTGGCAGGCACCGCAATTGCAAATCAGGATCTCTTCCTTCCTGGGTTCGAAACCTTGCGCTCTGATAATCACGGCACTGTTCACCAAGATGGGCCCTCGAGCAGCATTCAGACGGCCCTTCTCATATCCACATCGGCTCCCTCTCTCTCCTCCTTCTCAGGGCGTCTTGTCTCCGAGATCTCCGATGCCAGCAACGACGGCGCACAAAGCATCGTCGTCACTCTCTCCGCCAGCGAATGCTCCAACCTCTACACCGCTCTTCGCCTCGTCGTCGCACGATTCATAGCACAAGGGTCGACTATACCTGCACGCCCGGCCTCGGACGCTCATGCAACGTCTCTCGCCGAGATCGAAGCAGCCGCGTTCGTCGGCAAGGTCGAACCAGACCTCCACGTCCTTGCCTTCTGGTGGAGTCGCAAGTTCGGCACGTCAGATCGCGCCCCCAGACTGGTGGTCAATCTTCCCATGATCGAGTCCATCGAGCCGACGGTGCTTTCGGATCTCTTGTCGTCATTGCAGACCTTTGTCGCCGAGCCTTGCAGAACTGCATCCTCCTCCACTGACTCAGCTCATTCCTTTGCATCGCGACCGCAGCTCTTGCTCGTGCTCGGCATCACATCACCCTCGGGAGGTCTTGCCGCTGCTTCTGCCAGCACTTCCGCCAACGCAGCCGCAACAGCAGCCCCTGCCCCTTGGATCGAGTTCATCCCGCGACAGGTGCTGCGCGTCCTCGACATCTCGCGCTTCTCGTTGCCCAGCAAAGAGATCGTCTGGTCTCGCCTCGTCCAGTCCTTCTTGACCTCCCGCGAGCTACCGCTTTCCTTGGGCGCGTCTACTTTCGAATACATCCGCGAGACGTACTGGGAGAGGGACGCCGATCTCGACGCCGTGCTCGACGCCGTACGGCTGGCGTGCTTCATGCACTTTTCCGGCAAGCCTGAATCCGTCTTCACCATTCCAGGCGAGGCGAGCAAGATCCGCTTCTTCAGCTGGACGCCAAAGATGGTCGAGAGAATCAAGATCGCCTTCCTCACAACGGCCGACTCCGGCGACCTCGTCTTGCCGCTGCTCGGCGCATCCTCGGGCTCGTCTCATCTTGATGTCGACGAGTTCCTGCAAGAAGCTGCGCGCTCGGATCAGTTTATCCTCGGCAAGTTGGACCAGCTCCACCATCCGCGCGACTTGCTGTGCTACCGCATCGAGTTTGCCATTCGCTTCCTGTCGCGTGCATTCGAGGCGCTGCAGCGCATTCAGAATCAAGCGAATACGGCCGCGCAGGCGATGCACGCTCGTACTCTCACTCTCGCTTCGCAGCAAGCGGCCGAGATCGACGAACAGCGACAGCTCGAGCGCGCCAGCGAGATCCTCACCCAGGTCGTCATGCAGTGTCTCAACGCATCCGTCGGCTCGCTCGAAGCCGATCATCGCCCTCCGGCCATCTTGACGCTGCGGAACGGTCTAGCTCGGCTCTGCAACGCTGCACGTCGGCTGCTGTCAGACGAGTTCGAGACGCTCCTCGACGATATGGTCGGCGCTGCCGAGGACGAAGCGCGCGCGATCGAAGACAGCGTTGCTGAAAGCATCGACATGGCTGACTCGGACCAGCCAGCCCCGTCGAGACAGCTTCGCACGGCCAGCGAGGCGATTGCCGCTCACAGCGCGAAATTCTTGGCGGGAATGCGCACGTTCCAGCAGCGGCTGTCGCAGACGCTGGCGGCGGGCAGCGCTGGTATGGAAGAAGACGACGATGCTGATGTCGGTGCCGCATCGGCTTCGGGTAGCGCAAGTGCGCAGGCCGCCAAGCAGCGTCGCGAGGCACGGCTGCAGCGCGTACAGCGCAAGCTGCTCATGGAGGAGAAGCTGCTGGGCCTCAAGCGCGAAATCACCGACTGGATCGTCGCATCCGTGCAGGAGCTGGTGGACTGGAGGCAGATCGGACGCGAGCTGTCCGGGCTCGACAACGGACCTCTGCATCTGCTCACAGACATCTTCTGGGTCGACTGCTACGGCCCACTGTCCACGTTGCTGGATCCATCGACGCGTGCGGGAGTCACGCTGCCGTTGACCGCACCCGGCGAATTCGTCGAGAGCCTGTACGATGCCGCGCTCAGCGTGGTACCCGAGGAAGAGCTGGACGATATCGACATCGAGGGTCTCCAGTCCTCACAGACTCCCGATGTGTGTCGACTCTACAAACTCTACGGCGAGTGCGGCAAGTTTGTCAATCTCGCTGACTGGTTCGACGCGTTCAAGCAGACCGTCCAATCCGACGAGGCGACCAGGACAGGCAAGCAGGATCTCGCAGGCGAGCCACCGGCCAAGGGTTCAACCGCAAACCAAGGCGAAGCGAATGTCGACGCCGATGAGGTAGATGCACCTTCCACGCCTTCGAAGCGACGCAGTCCGAGCAAACGTACCGTTCAGCTGGCCGATGCGGACGAGTACGATCCAGACCTACTCGACACGCCGTCGAGAAAGCGCTCGCGTTTCGCCGAGCCCATTCAACCCGATGACGAGGCTGAGGAGGGGCCCGCGAGTGAGTCGGATCTGCAGTGCCGATTCGCCTTGGCCCTCAACCAGCTCGCGCGCATGGGCATGATCCGAGGCACCAAACGCCGCAACGAACACATCACAAAAGTCCTCTGGGACCTCGTGCCCGATACCTTTTAAACCTTCATCCGCTAGCGTTGCAAAGTGAAAAATTGCTCATCTAGCACAGCACAAATGCCACGTGAAGTCAGATAGTGGAACAATAGATTAAGCGGCCGGTCGGCAGGGTGACTACGGTGACAGATGAGGATACAGATACAAAAGTGGACATGGCGATGCAGTTGACAAGGCAAAAGAGCATGGATGCAGGATCAGCCAAGCATGTCGTCGAGAAAGCTCTCGAGGCGACCCAGTTCGCCGTGCGACGAGTAAGGCGTCGTGCTCTTTTGGTCGCGATAGGATGCAGATCTAGATGCGGCAGTGTAGCCGCCTTGCGGGCTGAGCGAAAAGACGGATGGATCGCGACCGCCGTGGACGCTGCGATCGTTGATGCTAGCCAGGAAGCTGTCGATGCGTTCAGTGCGTTGGGCCGAGCCACGCTCCCGCTCTGTACCGGCAACTCCGACGAGTGGTGATCGGCGCCGGCCGAAAGTCGTGCTGAAGCTCGAGCGCCCCGAGCCGACAGAAGCCGTCTCGCCGCTGGTGGTCTTGGCGAGCGCCGACTCAATCTCGGCAGTCAAGCCGGGCGAGAGTGTGCTAGCCGTAGCCGCAGCGGCCACGTCGCTGTCGTTGGATGACTGGGGGACGGCGTGCGGACCGATCTGTATCGAAGGCGCCACCCGAGATTTCGCATCTGGTCGTCGTTTCTCGCCCACGCCATGCCCCTGGAAGCGAGCCTTGAGGACGCGCACGGCGTCGGCCTTCTCCTTTTCCTTGCGGAGCGCTTCGAGGTCGACAGGCTCGCCATCCGCTTCAGCTCCCAGCGCCTCTGCAGCATGCTTGCTGGCCTCGTCCCCACCAGTGCCGCCCCGGCCCTTGGCCTTCTGACGCTGCCGTTCGCGCTCGTGCAGGTACGCCAGGCTGTGGTCAATGTCGTTCTCGACGTCCGAGGCAGTCTCGTTCTGGGCGCGGCTGCGGGCGATCTGCTCGGCAAGGCCGGCCTGTGTGCTTGCCGAGTCGCCCATTGCTGCCACGCGCGCGACTAGGTTCGAGATGTCCACCTCCGGCTCTGGCTCCTCGTCGTCGGGCAGGCGTGGATCCTTGGCCGCTTCGAGCCTCTCCAGCCTCGCGAGTTTGCTCTCGCCCAGCCTGCGCCGAGCGTACTTTCCGCGTGTGGGATTTGATGGGTCATCCTCCGAGGCTGTATTTGTCTGGCTGCCCGAAGCGGCATCAGCTAGGCTGGGGAAGTCCTTGTCCTTGTCGTCTTTCTCGTCGTCGCTGCTGTGGTCTTCATCGTCTTCGCCGCTGCCACTCGCAGAGTCTTCTTCTGATGGACCGCCGCCAGCACTGGCAGAGCGGCGATACTTGTTGGCAAATCTCTGGCGGTATCCCGGCTTGGACGAGCCTGCTTCGGCGTCATTGGCCTCTCCTTTTTGCGAGTTGTACCGACGCGAGGCCTTGGCCTTGTACTTGTTCTGCAGGACCATCTTGTGAGGAAGTCACCGTAACGGTGCACGTTGGCAAGCCGACAACGGTGACTGAATTTGCAGGGTGGGTCGACCGGTCGTGTGAGCGAAATGGAGACTCACTACGTCGCCTGAGCCGATGCGCTGCCGACGTAGTACAGCTCGGACGTCGATGCGATGAGTTCCAGGAGCGCAGGAGATGATGGAAGTGATGTGGCTTGGGTCGAAGCGCGCAGAATCGAGCTGCGAGGGGCGCTGCGGGCGGTATGTCAAACTGATTCGAATTGCTCGTCTGAGTTCCAAAATCAAGGCGGCTCGTGGCGGCGGTCCCGAACTGGGTCCGAAACGATGTACTGTGTCGTGCGTACCAACCAATGGCGATGGCCCTGCGTGATCACTGTGATCACAAGCAGCAATCGGGAGATGCCGAGATGCCGAGATGGTGGAGACGGCTGACAAGATGGAACTGCGGATGGTCTGAAAGGGTCGAGGACACATGGTCTGCAGGAGGCCCGTGAGCTCAGAGACCAACAGGCTGCTTTCTAGAATTGGATCGCAGCGTGACAGCGCCTCACTGATTGTTTTAGGGCATGACGTGTTGGGCCGGCTGGGAGTGGCTGGGCCGTGCAGGAAAAATCCCCAACCGAAGCCGTCGTGACAGGCAGCCCAGCCCGAGCCCGGACCTGAGACGGAAATTCGAGCATGATCGCATTCCCGATCCGCGTTCCCTCGTGTCTGCAGATCGCACCGCCTGCTTTGGCCAGCTCGGCTCAACGCTCGGCTGAACTCCACACATCTGGCAGCTTGCACCGGAGGTGCAAAGGTCGGCGCAACAGTCCCGGTCGGAGCTGATTCATCGGCAATCGCAAGCAGCAATGGTGGCTTGCACCTCAGTCCAGCGCACGGCATGTCGGTCGTCGGTTTGTCCGTTGCAGCGTCGCCGGTCCAGCCTTGTCTCCGTCAAGACTTCCGGCATTTGACTGCGTGGACGTAACTGACTCGTCGCGCAGGACCAGTCGTGGCTTCAAAGGCTCGCGACATCACACGCTGTTCGTGCAGTTGTGGGCCAGAGCGTTGGAGACTGAAGCCGATTTTGGCAGGAGATATGATACAATGCATGAGGATGATGTCGGGATGCTACAATGGTGGGGGATGCTGGACTGGTGGTGCTCTGACAGCTTGGTCGTCTCCACTGCCTACGAGGTGGGAGAGCTAGCCCCTCTCTTTCGCAGCAAGACTCTTTGTGACCGAGTCGATGTAGGTCTGCAGCATCTCGTTGTCTGCCTCGGCCTTCTTGCAATCTTCTTTGACCGAGCTCACGCGGCTGAGCAGGGCGCGCAACCCGTCCTGTCGTGCCATGATCTCTCTAGCCACGACGACATGGAAAGTGCATATCGTGACGTCGCGTGTCAGCCAAACATGCGATCGCGCTTCCTTGTCGTTACGCAGAGACTGGTACTCACCGAACGAGTTTCTCCTTTTCCACCACCTCGTTTGCTGAGATCTCGGTCTCGGCCGTCCAGGCCGCAGACTCGGTGAAGTCGTCGGAGGCAACGATCGGCGACGCCGTCGAAGATCCAGCGTGTGCGTCAGCATCCATCTCGGATGGTATCGAGCAGTGTTGCGACGCCTCCCAATGTCGACGTGCAAGAGCAGCGTTGGCGATGATGCAGGCGGTGAATCTGCACATGCGGCTCCATCCAGGGTCCGGTCCGGCAGGCAGCTTCGGGTCTCGGATTTCGATTGTTCTTTGTTAGCCTTTTACCGTCTGACATGCTTTCCGTAAATCATGTCTGTCCCCGTTGCCAAGTGTTAATTGCGGCGCAGGCGAGACACACTGTCAAGCCCTCGTAGCACGCCTTTTCCGGGGTTGTCGGGGCCGCAGCTCGGGCCTATGGCGGCAATCTATCCGAAAGCTGCGCAACCCGCGAAAAACTGAGAGTGCCGAGGGAGACACGGTCCCGGTCCCGCCACACAAATGCTATCCCCAACAAATTTGGCACGCTCCCCGGGGCCCAGATTCTTGGACGGCTTTCGGCCTCCAATCAAGATTCCGAATGCCTCCCGAGTAGCGGAGCATGTTGCCGAATGACGACGAAAGCGAGGCGAGAAGCAGGCTTCGAGGGGAGGAGATGCGAGGTATCCAGGCTGCGTGAGCCTTGAACCGGCAACGAAGGGTGGCGAATAGAACTGTATGGACGGGGAATTCCCCGCGCCTCGCGTCCTGAGCCGTGGGAGTCTTTGCGAAACGCACCAGCCACCCGCTCGAGCGCTTTGGCCGCGACCCGAGGCGAAGCAAGGCAAGGCTGGGTGTCTGGATGCTGCTGTGCTTCGAAGTTTGCGCCTGTCTCGCTCGGAAGCCACTCCGAAGAGCGACAGCTGTGGGTTGACAGTCACACCTAGCCGAGTATTGTCGACAAGCCCAGAATAGCGATCGTAACTTATCGATAACTTAGAGCTCGCACACGCAGAAGTTGAGAAGGAAATGACGAGCCGACCCACGCCACGCAGCAAGATGCCAGCATGCAAGATCCCGGCTGCGTTGGGCGCGTAGGCCATGCAGCGGCGCATGCGCGCATTTCCGCGCGCTCAAGCGCCTCCATGTGCCTGTCCGAGGTCCCTCCGTCGGTGAAATTCAGCGAGCAATTCGCCGGGCCAGGGCGCTTGGCTCGCCGCATCTTCCTTTCTGCCCCCCACAGCATGCTTATCTTTCCAGAATCTCCACGTCCATGCGGTGCATTCCAGCATGCGCAGCCCCGCGCTGCGTCATGCTTGCAGCAAGCACCCCACATCCGTGAAGAAGGAGGGGCTCCGTGGGACGACAAAGCGTTTTCATGTACCCCGTGCGCGTCAAGCGCGGACTGGAGTCGGCTTGCCACCAACAAAGTTTCCTAGCAAATGGCCGACTTGCTCGGTTCAAGTTCAAAACAAGTGCAGAGGAGATCGGGCGATAAGAATCACTGACGCATCCATCGGGCTCCGCCAGTGAAAGTGAAGCTGTGTCACCGTCCTTCATGTCAGACCCTACGGATGCGACACTACATGCAATGGAGGGGACGTTGCCAGACGGCGATCCCTAGCGGGACGGCGGAAGCACCTCTCGATCGCGAGGAGCTGCGCATCAAGAGCCACATGGGCAGGTTCTCGCATCCCTTGCGGTCTTTCCCTGCGTCGCCCGGCGAGCCGGGGCGCGTCAGCTGTGCATTCTGTTTTCCCTCTCTTTTTTTTTTGTTTTTGTTTCTTTTTCCTCCTCTTAAAATAATTCCGGAGGGCCTGGCACCTGAGCAAGTGTCGTTGACCGACGCCGATTACGGACTCCGCGGCGGCGAGCCGGAAGGTCGATCCCAGCTCCGACAATTTAGTGGGAATGAGCGGTCATTGTGCGTTCAGATGCAGCGCATCGGCTGCCGCCTTGGGCTGACACGGCGCCCAGGTCGGTGTCGGTGTCGGAATGCAGGCTACAGCTCTGCAGAATTCGGATCCATTCCGGCGTCCGCTCACAGGCGGGTGTCGCTTCCGGGGTCAGTGTCTTTACGTTACGCCAAGTCCATCCAGGCGAAGCGTGCCGTGCGTGCTCGCTCTCATCTCAATCTGGCTGAAAACGCGAGTGTGAGGCTCCGCAAGAGAAGTGTCACATCGTGCTTTGGATATGCTCCTCGAAGCGGGTTTTGTGACAAGTGCCAACGGAATTTAGCGAGACGACCGATGCGAGACCCTCTCCTCTACCGAGAGGCGGTGCCGTAAGCGAATCAGGACCTGTCCTTGCCCACGAGCGCGTGGCCAGGGGGGGACGGCATGGTGAGAGACTCTACTTCCAGTCGCCAGACCGACGTGCCCGCACATCTAGCCTACAGCAACACGGGCATGTCGGATTGGATTGTTTGAGGCCTGCGAAGCGGAGTTGGTTCGGGAGAGATGAAAGAGGCGGGCTCCAAGAAGGGAATCACTGTTGCCAGCGTATGCCACCAAGCAGAGCTCGAGTGCTGCTCCTACCCTCCGAACAATTACGCGAGGGGGGAGGAACAGCCACTGTGTACAGTCAGACTCGCCCAGTTGCGTTTCCACAAGACCCTGACAAAGTGTTGGTGCTTCGGCTGTCTTGTTCGAAGAGCCGTCGATGGCCCTGTGGCGCTGTAGCAAGATGATCGGCTCTGCCGACCGGGTACCAAAGCCCACCTCGACCCTGATCCGTCCGTGCAAAGTGTGGGGTGTACCGATCAAACGGCGCGACAGGGTCGAGCAGCAACAGCAGCAGCAAGGCTCTCTGATGGCGTCACTCTTTCACTGCGGCTCGAGCATCACAATGCGGTCCACATGTTCAGTGCGGAGATTTTCGAGACGTCGCCTTGGGCACGACTGATGGACTCCACCGACGTGCCCGAGTCGCATCGCCAGTGAGACCCTCCGGCATGTTTTCCCTTGCTCCTGCAGCAGCCTTGGCGAGAGGCGTTTGCTGACCGGCACGGCACGGAGTGTAAGACACTTCGGCATGGCGGCCTTGGCCTCCGATATCGTGAGGTGCATCTCGCGCATCCTTCCGCGGATGCTACAACGGCTCTCATCACACCTCTAACCAACATCCGTGCAAAGTCATTATGGTGATGTGCAGTGGATCTTCTCTCGTAAGAGTGAATCGTGCTCATGTATCGACATCCTTTCGTCGGTGTCGCGGCCAGCGACTTGACAAGGGGAGCCAGAGACTTTGAGCCAACACGGCGCCGAGTAGCCATCGATTGCGTGCAAGCCTTGTAAAATTCGGTGAGGCACCTCTGCGCGTCGCGATCGATCTGTGGGGGAAGGAAAACGGGCTTTTGATTTTCTCTTGATTTTCTCTAATTTTTATTTTTTTTCTCCTTTCCTTGACAAGGCCTCCTCCATTTCGCGGCACAAAGGGCATGCTTGCCTGTCACACGATTTGAGCAGGCGCGATGGGGATGCGTGCATATCGCCGCTTAACCAGACCAGAGCCCGGCCAATTTTCTGGCCTTGCTGGCGGCTGGCCCAAAACTGCGATACGCACTCTGGTCGAAGCGACTGGTCTTTGCGGATTGTTTCGAAACTGCTCGGTCGAATCCGACGGCCTCGGCGAGGTCGAGTGGGCTGCGTGCCGAAGTACCACCATCCAGAAATGCTGCGAATGGCGTTGGCGAGAAGAACGAGGTGCCCCACAGGCGTAGGCATGAGTGGGTGGCACATGTAGCCAAGACGTGCAGTGCAGCCAATGACATTTTGGGCCGAGATAGACATGGACGTGGACGAGCTGCACGAGAAATTCGAAATCCAGGCCAAACCACTACCTCACGCGGGGCGGCACAATCAGATTTTGGCAGCGCGCCCTATCGATGCAACTCGGGTTTCCTCTTGCGTGCTGTTGCCATGGTGAAGCTCGGTCGCAACGCCAGGCTACAACCAACGGATGGCAGGCAAGCTGATGCTCAAGAATGGTGCTGGTTCACCCTTTTGACGGAGCATGCTCGTGTACGGCAGCTACATGGCGAGGAGGGTTCACCTGGCAGCCATTCGGCGGTCGGCGCCAAACTGGCATTCAACGCTGACCACCAAAAGTCGACGGGCCGAAAAAATCATTTAAAATATAAAAATATAAAAAAGCAATTATTTTGTCGAGCCTGGCGGGGGAAAGAGGAGGGGCCGCTGCGCCGCGTCGCTTACGTTGGCGAACCCCCTGGGGATTTCGGCCGCTTACCGAGACGCGCTTCTCCCAGCAACCAAGCAACGCTTCCCGCCCTGGAAAGCCAACAAAATGCACACGAGTCGGGGTTTTGGCTGCCAAATGCTGCCGGCCTTTTGTGCCTTGAGCGACCAGGCCGCTCCACAAAACCAAAATAAATAAATAAAAATCTCGAGCGGGCGAGCAGTCAGCGGCGCAAGTTTCGTGGCTCAGATCGATGCGCCATCGACCGTTCCCAGGCCCGTCGGACCTGGAGACCGACAAAACGAATCGATCTGAAGATGCGCGCCGCACACTGACATATGTCCTGCCGAGTTTGCTGAGCGCGCTCTCGCCTATCGCCTGTTCACCGTCGTGCGGGCCCTGGCGCCGAGTGCTGCGCTTTTTTGGTCCCTCTCGTCTCGAGCCTCGGCCATGCCGCCATCTCCTCGCTATCGCCTCCCCCTTACTTGGCTCAGACAGCCGCTCCACAACGATGCGCCACGCCCAGACGCAGGCATCGCAGCGTGCGTGCGAAAAAAAAAAGTGCTCAGACGGTCCTCAGCCTGGCGCTGTCTACGCGTTGCGATGCGTTCCTCTCCTCGCCGCGACGTTGGGGCGCATGGCCACGCCCATCGATCCCTGCCTCTGTCTCTCCTTGATTCCCTGTCTGCCGTTGCCGGCACATCGTTCCTCACGCCGCATCTCGAGCATTTGGCACTGGCTCGTTCGTACGGGCTTGATCGGCGCCTCCTCCTGCTCTTCTCGACCTGTCCGGTGCGCTCGCTTCTGACGCTTCTCGCCCATCGCTGCCGCCCTCTCATCACGTCCACCTAAGGCGCTGCTCCTCACGCCGTCGTCGCCCCGACCCCGACCTCCTCTCTCCAAGCTTTCGTTGGCCTCCTCAGCGTCTTGGGCAATCGCACCCAGATCTGCTCCAGCGCCCGGTCCTTCTTCCGGCCAGTCCTCTTTGCGTACAGAGCTGCAGCGCCTCTCGTCAACCGTTGATTCTTGTCCCTACGCCGCAGTCACGAAGCGTGGTTGAGCTGCGCAGCGCGCTCCCAGATCCCAACATCCTCGAACCTGGCTACTGTAGTCGAGCGCCCCCTTCAACCATCCTCAACCTCAAACCCAACCTGAGCCGCGCTGGAGCCTCTGCTTCTGTCTCAACCTCGGCCTCAGCCTCCGCCCCACCATCCCTCCAGCTCAGCCTCAGCCTCAGCCTCAGCCTCTGGGTTGTCCTCCGCCTCTAGCTGTTACGCCAAGCCCCGTCTTGCCAGCCACCAGCACTTCTCCTACGCACAGCTGGACCCGCTTTCTCTTCTTTCTTCCTTCATACCGCCTTCGCCGCATCCCCTCTTCGTCGCTTCTCTTTCGCCCCTTCCCCCCTTTGTTGTTTGTTCAGCCGACGATCCGTTGGCCAGGCTAAGGCTTCACATTCCTCTCTTGGGTTCCAGCTCACCTGAGCCGCTCCCAGACGTTTGACGGTCCGCCGACACACGAGCAGGGCATTCCTCCTTTGGTCCACCACCATCACCTTTCCATCCTCACTCAGCTCCTCATCCTCATCAATACCCCTAGACGACCCTATCGACGACCCTTGTCCCGCACTTTCCGTGTTCACCACGCTTTGCTGCCTTTGCCCTACACCGCTCTTTTCTTGGTCGACACACGCAGCGGACATTTCAGACAAGTGTTGCCCGTCCCATTATCCCTGGCACACATCTACATGCTCCGAGCAGCGTGACGACGCCCTCGCTCGAGCTTCCATCTCGACTGCATCGTCCCAGCCGCCATCACGGTATGCTGGTGAGCGCGCCTCTCCAGTCCTACGATCGTGCTTCCATCCACCGGCCGCAGTATCACTCTTCTCGTCCGTACCACACGCCCACCGAAAAGGGCACGGCAGGCACCATGACCCTCTCCAGCTCACACGCCGATATGGCGCACTTCACCGACGGTCGTCCGGCAGTGGGCACCAGCAGCAACCACAGCCACGTCGAAACATCGTCATCCGCATCCTCAGAGTCGGCATCGGCGTCGCTGCCCTCGGCAAACCTCGCCCAGTCAGTGCCGACGCGACCAAAGAACCACGTTCGTGGCGTCGCGTCCGATTCTCGTGTTTGGACCACAGGCCGCGGTTTCTTCGAAGGACGCTATCGCGAGCGACAGTCCTACGTCAGTGCGCAAGAGCAGAAGGACCTCGAAGCAGAGCGCGATGCCATCCTGCAGATTCAGAACGTGCAGGCAGCCAAGCGTCGAGCCAAGATGATGAGGCTCACGCCCGCCTTCCCAGCGTCTAGAGATAGCACCCGCACGCCCAGTCCTCCTTCCAGCGAAGCCTCGTCGGCGCGCACCGCCAGCGACGATGTCGCCACCCCTCCCGACAGCCGCGTTCCCTTCCCGAGCCCCAAAACCCGCATCGGTCTCGCTGCAGCTCAGAACATGGCTCCCCTCCACCCAGGCTCGAGAAAGGCCTTGGCTCTCAAGGCCAACAGCCCCGGTCCCGAGGTCCTCGGTGGCCTCAGCCTCGATCTGCAGTGCCTGCCATCGCCAGCTGGCGACCGATCATCCATCTCGTCGACCACATCCACAAATTCGGAGCTGCTCCGCAAAAAGTCCGGAGAGCCAGTCAAGTCGTCGCTGAAGCAGTATTCGGGTAGCTACATGGTTCCACGATCGGCCAGCGATGCCATCCTCCCTTCGTCGGCGTACGGCACCAAATCCGTCCCTACCACTCCGAGCGCCCCCAAATTCGTTCACTTTGACACTCAGCTCGAGCACATCAAGATCTTCAAAGTGAAGGGCCGCCCGCAGGCCGTCTCACGCGAGGGGAGCCCCGAGCACACCGAGACCGAGACCGAGGAGGAGCGCGATTACCCGTGGTTTGGTTCTCGCAGAGGCGGCTCCCTCGGGCGCACCGCAGGCTCTCGAAGTCCCACCAACCCGTCGACGCCTCCGGCCACCGAGCCAGACGAGCAACTTGTTCTTCGCCTGCCCAACTTCCCCTCTTCCGCCAAATTATCCCTGGACAAGGACATCTTCCTCGAACGCATCTATCTCTCGGACGATCTGCGCTCCGTCCGCGGCACAGTGCAAGTCAAGAACCTCAGCTTCGAGAAGTGGGTCGCCGTGCGCTTCACCCTCGACCATTGGGCCACGGTCAACGAGGTGTCGGCCGAGTACTCGGAGAGCATCAAGGACGGCACAGCCGACCGCTTCGTGTTCTCCATCAAGCTCAACGAGGTGCTCAACTGGCCTCGCGGAGCCGGACTCAACGAGACCAAGACCATCTTCCTCTGCCTCCGCTACACCACCGGCGGACGCGAGATCTGGGACAACAACGACGGCGGCAACTATCAGCTCGACTTCCGCAAGCGCCCTGCGCAGCCCGCCGAGGCGCCCCGCCTGCCTCCTACCTCGGCCGAAGGACGCGCTGCGGCCGCCACGTTTGGCAACACTGTCCCGCGTCGGTACACGCTCAGCTCCATGGGACCCACGTCCACCTCGTCCATCATCGAAATGGGACGCAGGACTGGCGTCTACGGGCAGAAGGCTACGCGCGACAATGCCATGGAGCGGCTCAAACAGGAGCTCGAGCGTCTTCGCTCGGACGAAGAGGAGGCGGAAAAGGCCCCGATGTCGGGCAACTTTGCATCTGAAATGTCGAAGCGCCGATCGCCGCCCGTCTCGCCCGGAGGCGCCGGAAAGCCCAGCTCGCCGTCCACGTGGTCTGCAAGGTACGACTTTGGTGCCTCGCTTCGCGATCCCAAGAGCGGCAGCCGCAAGACCGAGGCTGGACGCGCCGCTGCCCTCGACTACTTCTCGGCGCGCCCGTCCGCAGTCGCCGCTTCTAGCCCCGTGCGCTCTTCGTTCGTCGTCAGCGCCGCTACGCCTTCCCCCGACGGCTCGACGCCGCGTTCCGTCGCCGAGCTGGTGCCCAAGTTCGGCCGTCTGGGCATGTTGAGTCCGGGCTTGGGCGAGGTGGTCATCGAGCATGCCGCCGTCAACAGCTCCAACACCAGCTCCCCAACCGGCTCGCTTCTCCAAGTGCCGCAGGTGGGTTCCATTGCATCGACCAGCCCCGCTGCGACGTCGGGCACCCGCTTCAACTCGTTCCCACCCAACAGGAACGGCCAAGCTCGCAGCATGTTTGGCATCTGGGATGACGAGGCCAGTGGCGGCAACGGCTCTGGCTCCGGCTCAGCGTCAGGCTCTGCTTCTGTCTCTAGGTCGGGCACACCGCCGTCGCCGATCGGCTTCGCGACCACGAGGATCGAGATCAAGGGCGATGGCACCGTTCTGGAAGACTACACCCCGGATGGCAGCCAGGCCTCGCCCAACTCGCTCAACAATTCTCCGAATCCCTTCTCGCCCGCCCTATCAGCCAGCTCGGTCGACTCGGACTCCACCGCCATGCTCGACACGAAGCCTGGCATGACCAGCAGCCTTGACAATCTCGGCAACCTCAGCGGCCCGTCTGCCTACCGCTTCCTGCGTGCTGATCACCTGGAGGGCAGGACGCGTCCTTCGTCCTTCACCGCGGGCGACGAGGCCGAGCAGCACGGCTACTCGTCCTCGGCTCTCTCGTCGTCCACCACCATGTCGCCTTCGTCCGAGCTCGCCACGCCGGAGGAGGAATTCATGCGTCCGTCCAACCTCACCAGCTTCAACGAACTCGTCGCCCGATTCTGCTGGAACAGCGACAATCAGGTGCCCCAGACAAGCCCTGACGCCTCGGGGCTCGCCGCTCATACACCCACGTCGGCCTCGGGGCGCTCCACCCCCATCGCGCGTGCTGGAGGCGCCTACTAAGCCCAACACACTGTACACTATCCAACGTCACGTTGTCACGTCCTTGCTACGAATGTGCCCGAGTCCGATTGGCGTCCCGCGCCAAGACGCGTTCGCGCACCGCCTGCAGCAGCAGCTGTAACACGTTCTGCCCCTCTTGTCTCGACACATCCACCCCATCCAGCACACACACACTACATGATCAGTTCCGCATTAAGTCCGCTACGCATCGTCACAAATTCAATCGCACTTTCTATCCGCTTTTCACACGTCCGGCTCGCTCAGAGCACAATCAAGGCTGACGGATCGAGTTTCGTGAGCGGTGGAGGGGCCTGTAAAAACAAAGTCGGCTCGATGGGTGGGGATGGACATTATGCATTCGGAGCAGGCAGTGCCGTGTACCCCTAAGTGGGGTTTGGACCCTTGCCCAGGTGACGATCGAGTTCTGCTGAGCTCAGCGGCTTGTGTCTCTACAATGGGGTAGGGGTGGGAGAGAAGCGAGCTCGCACCTGCTGCTTACAGACATTTGAAACTGTGGGGCACCGCACGATCGACAGTGATCCACACTGTCACGCGCAAGCAGGGTCATGTGGGGCTCCCTCTCTCCTTGCTGGACAGCGACGAATGCGTCTTGTCGAAGCGAATTCCAACCTCCAACCTCGGGGGAACTTACAAACAATGCTTGGATGGCAGTGATGATTCAGCATCTGGG